CCCTGACTCTTCGGCTCTGTTTAAGAGCCGAGCTGCTCGAGCGCTATGGGCTTCAGGCAGCCCCCTTGGCTCCGGACCCCAGCCGCCGGGCGGGCACTTCCCCACCCGAGCTCCGGCGGCGCAGGGTCCGGAGGCACGGGGGCTGCCCGAAGCCGGTAGCGCTCGGGCAGCCCTTTCCCCGTGGCTGGGAGTGGGAGGGAGGAGGGGGCGGAGTTAGGGCGGAGAAGGGGCGGAGTTGGGGCGGGGCTGGGGAAATGGGCGGGGCCAGGGCCCGTGGAGGGTCCTCTTTTTTTATTTAATAGATATGGTAACCCTATATTAGACATCCGGGGCTGGCCTGTGCCAGCTGACTTGGGCTGTTCAATTGCAGTGTAGATGTTCAGGCTCAGACTGCAGCTGAAGTTCTGGGACCCTCCCACCGCACAGGATCCTAGAGCCCAGACCCCAGCACAAGCCCCAGCATCTACACTGCAATTAAACAGCCCTTTAGCCTGAGCCTGAGTCAGCTGGCATGGGCGAGCCATGAGTTTTTAATTGCAATGTAGACATACCCCAAGAGTCCACTCCACCACATTCTTGATACATATTATAATGAGAATTATTTATGTTGGTCAAAGTATAAGATTTCATTTGACAAGAACTGTGATAAATCTTTCTACTCTGAGCTCGGCATGGTTCCCTTTATGCTTAGACTGGGGAAAGGAGAGCTGCAATAGTGTAATGAGGGTAAATGCAGGTAAATGGAGATTACCAACTTCGCATTTGGGGAATATAGAGTTTAGTTTAGGTTCATTTACCCACTTCTCTTTTTTTTTACCACTACACCACTGGGGAGCTGCCATTTCCATTACTGAATGGGATGTAGCTGAGAACAATGTGGATTTGGGCTGTTATTCACAGCTGGAGCTGTGGAGATGGAAACACTGCATTAGCCAAGCCCAATGAAATATTCATTGGCTTAAAAAAATCTTATTAAGCTTTATATAGTTCAGCACAATCAGAGACACATAACTAACTTGAATAAAATAGAGTTAACAAAACAACTGGAGATCAAGAAAGATTCCTCCCATTTGTTTCATTTTAGCCTCTGGAAAGTTTAGTTATCTTTTTAGAAAAAAAAAGTGCTTCTTACAGCACAGAGACTCTCCCCTTAGTCTTTTACCACATGAAAATGAACATGAAAGAGTGATCACCTTGTTAAAAGAAATGCCAAGGCATTACATAAAATGACATAAGTATTTAGGCCTCCAGACAGAATAATCATCCACTCCTGGTGCCCATCCAATCTATTATTAAGAACAAATAAAACAGAGATACAGTAGCTCCAGCAAAATGTGCTGTTTCTTTCACATGAATACAGGGATGTAATCTGCAGAGATTGGAAGAACAATGAATTATCAATTACTCTTAACACTGTTGTAGACCAGTGCTGTTTCTGAAAAGGGCTGCTTTTGAATCCTCCATTTCTGATATCTGTAATTTGCAATGGTGAAAATGAGGTAATAGGAAGTTTGCACAGGATGGGGGTCAATTTGGCTCTAACTTTAGGGATGACTCAGGGGTGCTGTATGAGAGAGTTCTCAGAGGGTTTCCCTGACACTAGCTACAGAATGGTTCTGTATCATTCTAGTACAGGGGTCTGCAACCTTTCAGAAGTGGCGTGCCAAGTCTTCATTTATTCACTTTAATTTAAGGTTTCGCGTGCCAGTAATACATTTTAACGTTTTTTAGAAGGTCTCTCTCTATAAGTCTATATTATGTAACTAAACTATTGTTGTATGTAAAGTAAACAAGGTTTTCAAAATGTTTAAGAAGCTTCATTTAAAATTAAATTAAAATGCTGATCTTACGCCGCCAGCCTGCTTCCAGACTGGGGTTCTGTTCACCTAGGCCGGCATTGGACTGAGTGGGGCCTGCGGCCAGGATGCCGGCTGGCAAAGGGCTGGCAGCCGGGACCCCAGACCTGGGGGTGGGTTTCAGAGGTCAGGGCAGAGGGCTGGGTGTGTGTGTGGGATGCAGGGCAGAAGGCTGGGTGTGTGGGGGGTTCAGGGGTCAGGGCAGAGGGCAGGGGGGTGGAGGTGCAGGGCAGAAGGCTGGGGTACTCGGCTCATGGGGGTGCTCCCAGGCCTCTTTCCTGAGCAGCTCATGGCAGGGGGCTGGAAGGGATATGCCCTGTTCCATCCCCTTCCCCAGGGCCCCGTCCCTACCTCTTCTCTGCCTCCTCTACGGAGCAGCGAGCACACTGCCACTCATCCCCCTCCCCTTCGCAAGGGCCATCAGCTGATTGGCACAGGGATGGAGAGGGGGAGGGGCAGGAAAGCACCACGCTGGGGGAAGAAGCGGGGAAGGGGGAAGCTTGGCTGCCGCAGGACCAAGCTTCTGCCTCCTGCCCTCACAGGGGAGAGCGGTAGGCAGGGGGGGCTGAGTGGGGCCGGGGGCCGGGACCGTGGCAGGCAGCAGCATGCCACTCAAAATCAGCTTGCGTGCCATGTTTGGCACGTGTGCCTTAGGTTGCCAACCCCGTTCTAGTAAATGCCACATAAACCCATTTCAAGAATTCTCAATGTATGCAACAGATTGTAGCCCATATACCCTGTTGGAAAGTAAATTTAGGACAAGACAATGGCCAGAAAGTTTTTAGGGTCAGGTACCCAAAAGTTTGGATCCTCATCTGCACCTTTTGTGTCTGTAAAACAGAGCTGGAAATTTCACAATGAAAGGATTTTCTTACAAGGTTTCTGGCAATTCTTCCGTCCAGTTGAGTGAGAAATACTACAAGAACAGCCTCTTTTCCAGCTGAGAGGAGAAGTGCAGAGGGGAATGATTTTATTTTTTAAAGCAAGCCATACTTTTCCATACCTGAAAGGAAATTCAATTTGGGTTTAAATGTGGGTGGTGATCTTGGAGACTTTATCCAAATAGGTTTGTCCTTCCTTAATGCTTGTGGGCCATAAGTTTTACATTGTCTCCAGGATGCTGCAAACCACTGTAATACTGGTGAAAAGCCAAGAATAGGATCTGCAGATGCTCTTCCACATGGAGCAAAGGATGGGAGCTGCATACATTGCTCTATGGTGTAGCCCAGTGTGCTGTAAAGATCACATCAAGTTAATGCTCAGATTCTTCCCCTTTGTGGGAGTAACTTATTCTGAGCCTACCTAGAAATTGGCTTCCTGTGAAGGAACCACCTAGTGGTCAGCTCAATAAAGTTCTTTCTTACTGGCAGATGACCTCAATATGGCTTCTTTCTCAGCCAATCAGCACTGGCTGAGCAAGGACTCAGAGCAGAGGATAAATGAGCTGTCACCACAGTCACTCTAGAATAGTGGTTCTCAAACTTTTGTACTGGTGACCTCTTTCACATAGTACCCTTTCACATAACAAGCCCCCCCTTATAAATTAAAACCATTTTTATATATTTAACACTTATAAAAGCTGGATGCAAAGTGGGGTTGGGGTGGAGGCTGACAGCTTGCGGCCCCCCATGTAATAACCTTATGATCCCCTGAGGTTTCCTGACCTGCAGTTTGAGAACCCCTGCTCTAGAATTAGAGCTAGCTCATTGCAGCTGGATGCAAGCATGAGCAGCTCAATCAGGGTGCTAAGCAACTCATGAAGGGGCTGCTCTCAACTTCCACTCACTTCCCTGGGAGTTGAGGGGGCTCAGCACCTACAGCAGTTGATCAGAATCCTGCAGAATGGAGCTTGTGATGCTAGGGAGCACTGGCTCCGGAATGATGCTTAGTTGCATATTTTCACTCTGGCAGATATAAGATACACAGTTCTTCTTGCTAATGGTAGTGTTATGGCAAGTTCTCAGGGCTGCTTGCTGAAAATTTACCCCTTAGGTTCTGACAGCCAAACTTCATAAGACTCAGAGAGCTCCACGGCCAAGTACTGTATGTTTAAATCAGAGCTACCTGGTCTGAACAGATCCCTAAAAGCCATAGTCTGGCCTAGATTTGGGTGTGCAAATCCCATTGACATCAGTGGTTGTGCCACATGTGGCTTGAGGGCAGTATAGTTTTAGAAACGGTTGCTGAGCAGTAAAGAAAACAAAACAGAGGGCAGTTTACATTTACTTGTATATTTAATCAGTAGTAAAGAATTAACAGTATAATACATCAGAAGTTATATAGTGGAATTCTATTTTAATTATCTTTTCAGGCTACCATGGTTTTGTTGTATTCAAACAATCACTCTAACCCAGTCCATGAAAGAGTGAACTTTCTAAATCAGAAAGAAAATCTTCACCTTGCAAAGGCAAAGTGGAGTCTATGAAGCATTTCAATGCTAAGAAAAGTCAGTCATACCATAACTGGCACCCCCATACATTGTAACATTCTCTATCTGCAACCAAGCAACACTCAGAGATATGACATTCTTTCTTGTCTTTGGAAATGACAAGAGAAAAATCAAAGAAATTATCTCCAATTTTAATCTTACAACCAAATACCCATTGATCAGTATAAGCACAGGGCAAGCAACTCAGCATCAACAGGGAATTGCTGTTGGAAAATGAGATGCAAGTCCTATCTGTCTAAACTATCTATTCTAGCTGTTGAATGGTTTTGCTAAAACATCTGTCACTGTGGTAGTTAAGAGCCTGTTGAGACTAGCAGTGATCAATAAATATTTATCTTTGATTAAATAGCCAATCTCTTGCATGAGAATGCATGTGCTAGGTGTTTTATCATGTATTTATGTCTCTTTAGATGAAGAAGCAGAAGGTGGAGAAATATCATCCGAAGCCATGTTGGAAAACCCAGAGATAGAAGGAAAAAGCAGTGCCTCCTAATCTCTAGAGTTTGCTGGATTTACAATGTCCATCGACAGACTTTACAAATGTTCTGCTTTTCACAGGTTCCAAGCCCTACTAGAAACTGTAGTGGTCTGGGCAGGACTATTCAACACAATTGTATCTGGATGACATTAACTTGCAGCTACTACTTAGGGTTTTCATGCTGTTTTCTACTGTAGTCCATTAAAAAGCAAGTAATCTAGAAATCACAACCAGGAAAAAGCTAAAGAATGTATATGGTGTTTTTTAATTGTTATCAGTTGCACCATATTGATACTAATCCAACCAAACCCTTTTTGATCATTTCAATGATTATGGTTAACAGTTGTACAAAACACAATAACTGTGCTAAATATAACTCCTGATTAATTTTCCAAATTATTTTTTTCAGTGACACCAAGTCTTGTTTCCCATCCAAGATGAGATTATGTCAAGTGTATTGGGATGCAGATAGGGAGGGGATTTTTCTGACCTTTAAAGATAGAAGAAACACATACATCCATGATGTACAAACTTTTGGAACTTTCAGAGGTTTTGTTCTCTTTGGGAAGAGAAATGGGGTGAAAAAGCCTGAAACAAAACACATTTTTCTCCTCCTCTTTTCCAAAATGTTCTATATTCTTCTTAAAAAACAAAAAAAACTTTTTGAAAATCTCTTCAGTTTATTCAGCCCTATCCCCAGGCAGATAATCTCTGGGTTCTTCTATTCCCCACAATCATACTCCTTCTGTCTTTTCTGTGCACAGCCTCAATACTCTATTTGTTCAGATGTATTTAAAATAAAATAGCAACATTTGTAAGTGATTTAAATTGTTTACGCTCATCCTGGATATTAAATAGATCCCATCTCTTTTGTGTTCTTGAATCTTTGATGTCTCTCCTGTATGGCAAGGAATGAATCAGAAGTACCATAATACACAATGTTTTTGTTTCATTTGTGATTTTTTGGTTTGTCCGTTTATGACGGAGCTATTCCATTCATTCTGGGTTTACTAAAACATATTTAAACAAAGACTCTCTGCCTGCACTAAAAGATCATTCATGTTTTGTTACAAAGATTGTATCCCTGAAAATATTTTGTATGGATCCCTTTATTATTCAGGATATAGAGTCACATAAATGCATGCACTTGTGTTGGAATCAGAGTCAATGGTCATTTGAAATTCTTACAAAGGTATAGTGTGCAGCTAATTCTGATAATCAGGCACTTCTATTTGCATAGTGTGTTTCTATTGGAGTATGGCTTACAGGTGGAGGTATTAATGATACATGGGTATTGGCAGTACTTAAAGGATGATGATCATAAATTCCACATGGAGCCAGAGTAATGGGGCTTTATGTACTGGCTGTCCTATAGAGGGATAGGGGCATGATGCACACCCTAGCCTAGAGACAAGATGCAAGGCTGCATCACAGTCAGTAGGCCAGTCTATAAGATGGCAAAGTGATCTTTTCTCTGCCTAATTCAGAGGAGGGATTTGAATCCACATCTCCTACTTCCCAGGTGAATGCCTTGATCACCAGGCTACGGAATTAGGGTTACCATATTTAAACATTAAAAAAAGAGGACACTCCATGGGGCCCTGGCCCTGCCCCTTCCCCGCCCCAGCTCCGCCCCCTCCCCTGAGCACCCCGCATTCCCCCTCCTCCCTCCCAGCCACGCAAAACAGCTGCCCGAGCGCTACCGGCTTCACAGTTTGCCGGGCAGCCCCCAGACCTCCAGAGCCTGCGCCCCCAGCTGGGTGCTTCCCCTCCCGGGCTCCGGCTGCGCTGGGGAAGCGCCCAGCCGGGGGTGCAGGGTCTGGAGGTCTGGGGGCTGTCCAGCAAACCGTGAAGCCGGTAGCGCTTGGGCAGCTCGGCTCTTCAGCTACACAAAGCTGAGGTGTCTGGGGGGAACAGCAGCAGCCGCCGCCGCCGCGGGGGAATCCGCCTGCAGCTCGCAGCCTGCCGGAGCCGTTCTAAGGTAAGCAGGGGACTGGGGCAGGGGTGCCGGCAAAACAAAGCTGGGAGTATTTTCCCTGACATGTTCGGCTTTTTGGCAATTCCCCCCGGACGGGGATTTGAGGACCAAAAAGCCGGACATGTCCGGGAAAATCCGGACATATGGTAACCCTATACGGAATCATTCTCACACTCTCTCTCTTTTTGGTTCAATGTATATTTAAGTATTTTTACAAATTGGAAAAACTTCAACAGGAGAAACTGAGAGCAGCTCACCTTAGAATAGCCTATAGCCTATTGCAGGGGTGGCCAACCTGTGGCTCCGGAGCCACATGCGGCTCTTCAGAAGTTAATATGCGGCTCCTTTTATAGGCACCGACTCCGGGGCTGGAGCTACAGGCGCCAGCTTTCCAATGTGCTGGGGGGTGCTCACTGCTCAACCCCTGGCTTTGCCACAGGCCCTGCCCCTACTTCACCCCTTCCCACCCCCTCCTCTGAGCCTGCCGTGCCCTCGCTCCTCCCTTTCCCCTCCTCCCCCCGAGCCTCCTGCACACCACAAAACAGCTGATCGGCAGAGCTGCTGGTGGGTGGGGGTGGGGGCAGCTGATGGGGGGTTGCTAACGTATTACTGTGGCTCTTTGGCAATGTACATTGGTAAATTATGGCTCCTTCTCAGGCTCAGGTTGGCCACCCCGGCCTAGTGGTTAGGGGAATTCCAAGTTCAAATCCCTAGTTCAGAACAGGGATTCAAACGTAGATTTCCCTACATCCCAGGCAAATCCCCTAGCTATTGGGCTATTGTTTATAAAGTGGGGACACATGCTGTTTGCTAGACCTGAAAATCGCTTCCTTTGCCAAAATGGGCATATGGAATTGGTGACTAGATTCTGGCCAACAAAAACTGAATTTTTCAGCAAACAAATGATTTTCCACAAAACTTTGCCAAGCCCTAGTAGTGACTGCTGTGTCTATGCAACCCCTATGCAGACATCACTGGCCATTGAACTACGTAAGTGCAGATTCAGTTGCTATTTCCATAACCCAACTACTATATTCCCTCCACATTAGCTCATTCCTAGCTGGCACAGAGTACATTTTCCTGGTGCACAGAGTGTGCAGAGGCACCCCTGCACAAATACTGTGCCTTCACATCCCTTTCCTCCCAGTCCAGGCATGCCTTGTGTGGGCCTTTCAGCAAAGGAGGAGTTTCCCCCGAACTGAGTGGGAGCTGAGCTCTGCCACTTCCCCCCGACCCCTGTCCAACAGGAACTAAGTCCTAGAGCTTTTCACAAGTTATAAAAGCACTGTTCCACTAAAACAAGATAAAAGCGCTGCCAAAGGTTGAAAGAGCAAAGGAAATGGCAAGAGAAAAGCAAAGCAGAAGGATTAGACAAGAGGAATTCAAAGTTGTATTGCACTTGCAATGCCTGCTCTGACTTGGTTCTGTGTTCCAATCCCCATTTCAGGCCTTTACGACAGCCTGCTTTAGCAAGGTACTTAATCATGTGCCTAACTTTGAACACCTGAGTAGTCCCATTGAAATTAAGCAGTGAAGTACCATTACATGGGACTGCTCACATGCTTAAAGTGAAGCAGGTGCTTTAGCCTATATGAATTCTCCTTCTTTTTCTTCACATTTGGAGCACTGGCTATTTTGAAAACTGAACCTTACAGTACATTGACCAGGGGTTCTCAAACTGGGGGTCAGGACCCCTCAGGGGGTCACAAAGTTATTACATGGGGGGTCGCGAGCTGTCAGCTTCCACCCCAAACCCCGCTTTGCTTCCAGCATTATTAATGGTATTAAATATATTAAAAAGTGTTTTTAATTTATGAGGGAGGCCACACTCAGAGGCTTGCTATGTGAAAGGGGTCATCAGTACAAAAGTTTGAGAATCACTGACATTGACATTGACAGTGAAATCCGGGTTACGTACACTGATGCTAAACAAATGCTTTCATTAACCGAAGGTGTTTTGCAGGAGTTTTCTATTAGAATGCTAATGAAATGAATCAATGGGACGTAAGGTCCAATACGGCACACACATATGCATTTGCTTAACTTTACATGACAGTAGTCCCATAATTGCTCACATGTGTAAAGTTAGGATCATGCTCAGAAACTCACACGAGGCACTCAGAACCTTGCAGGGTTGGGCCCTAATTTCTCTGGGATGCGTAAAAAGATGCTGTGATGTTCCCAAGAGGGACACAAAAGCCTGGGTACCAACCTCAGGGCAGACTGTTAAAAAACTAGGGCCCAAACCCCAAATTGGTCATGAGTTCTAAACTGAGATTTCACCAACCAATTGCACTAAGTGCAAACTCCTCAGGGGCACATAGCCTTAAATGGAGTCACAGACAGTCCCCTTGGATATTCCAGTCTGTCTTGTCACCCACATGAGCATATCTCTGTGATAGATGGCCCTTAAAACTAAAATTCACAGTAATATTCAGGTTATTCCTTGTCCCAAAGGACCAGTCACTTACCCCAGGTCAACTGCGCTGTACCTTGCACATCAAGGACAAGGTTTGTAGCCAATCCTATAATACATTTTATGAAGATTTATTAAATAGGAAAAGGAAACTAGAGAGTTATTTACAAGGGTAAAGCAAGTGAATATAGACACATGAATGAGTTATAGGTTTTAAGTGGTAAAAGAGGTTTCTATAATCAGCAAGCTCTGTTTGTTCTTTAGGGTTAACCCCAGCTAACCAGCTGGGGCTTTCTTGCATAGGCCTAGGAAATGCCTTGCCCCCCACAGAATTCCAGCACCAGAGAGATCCTTAGTTCCTTTAGTTTGGGGTTTTTACTCCCACGCCTGCCATGGGCTCTCAACTGCACACTCTGGTGGTGGGAAGAGTCCACTTGCATGATTCACATTCATTGGGAGGAGATCAGAACAATAAGAGTCTTTAGTCCATTTGCTGACTGTTCCTCACACCAGAAGTAGGGAGTTTCCAGTTGTAAGATCCAACAATAGCCTGTCTGGTATTGACGGGACTCCTCTTTCGGGAGGGGGTGTAACAATTTTTGTAGAAGAGCAGCTCTTCACACTAATTAATGTCCCTCTCCTGTACAGTGATGCATACGGTCACAGAGGGGGGTCACACTACACCCGCCCAAATATTACATTATAATATGGAATACACATATTACAACTAAAGTTAATGCATGCAGTAACTCACAAATATTCAACTGAGTCCAAAGACTAAAAACTTCCTGTCATTCTAATACTTATTTTATCACTATTAAACCACAAGTGAACCAGACAGATTTCAGCTACGTATCTGTCAGTCTTCAGTTGAGACATGGGGACCTTGGCATGAGCTGGCGCCTGGTCTGCCAGGGTACAGATGCCACTGAGAAAATGTAGTAAAGAAATAAACAAGGGAAAGGAGTAAATCTAAAATAGAAAACTGGTTACCTTCATCTAAGGAGAAGAAAAAAAGAAACAGTAACAAAACAGGATTTTTTTTAACATGACTAAATTCAACAGGGTCAACATATTTAATCTATCTGGAAAGTATTTGGTGCCAGCTTTATATACAAGCAGCAACATTGCTAACAATCAGCAATGGGATTTCTCATTTATACAGTAACCACTTTAAGGCCCTGATTTAGCCAGGTTTCTAAGCAGATGCCTAACTTTAAGCATGAGACTAATCCCACTGAAGTCAATGGGACTACTCACATACTTAAAATTAAGTACATGCTTGAGATCCTGGCTGAATCAAAGCCTTAAGCCTTTATTAGGGGTAGTCTGATACATGTTGCAAAGCATTGAACCCAATTTCCACTCCAGCCAATTCGGTCCAAGTGCTGTGTATTATTATAAGCTTCCTTATTGTCAGCGTAAATGATGCATGGTGTTCTGTGGATTTATGGAGCAAAGAGAGCAATTCTGC